GGGCGGCGGCGGCGGCGGCGCGCCGAGCCGCTTCGGCGACCGGGGCGGCGACCGGGGCGGCGGCTTCGGCGGCCCGCCGGACCGCGGCGGCGGCCGCTTCGCGTCGATGCGCGACGGCGACGGCGACCGCTTCGGCGGCGACGGCGGCCGCTACGGCGACCGCGGCGGCGGCGGCGGCGGCGGCGGCGGCGGCGGCGGCCGCTACGGCGGCTACGGCGGCGGCGCCCCGCAGGCGAGCCGCGGCCCCGCGGAGGAGTTCCCGTCCATGGCGAGCGCGCCGAGCGGCGCCTCGAACGGCCGGTTCCCGACGGCGCAGCAGGAGAAGGAGTACAAGGAGGCGAAGCTCCAGGCGGAGAAGGAGCTCCAGATCGCCCAGAAGAAGCTCGCCGCCGCGAAGCGCGCCGAGGCCGAGAAGGTCAAGGAGGCGGAGGCGAAGCGGAAGGCCGCGGAGAAGGCCGCCGCGGCCGAGGCCAAGGCCGCGGCCTTGGCGAAGCGCGCCGCGGACCTCGAGCGCGACACCGCGGCCGTCAAGGGCCTCGTCGACGGCGGCGCCGTCGGCGACAAGCTCGCCGCGGCGGCGAAGGAGCTCAAGCCCCGCGCCATGGCCTTCGCGCTCGCGTTCTACGGCGCGAACGGCGCCGACCTCGCGTGGCTCGAGCCCGACCGGTGCGGCGCGGCGCTCAAGGCCGTCGCGCCCGAGGGCGACGTCGCCGCCCAGGTCGACCTGCTCTTCGCGACGCAGCAGCACTTCCACGGCCTCGACTTCCCCAAGGACGACGCGGGCAAGGCCCTCGTGCAGCAGGCGTTCAAGAGCCTCTTCCTCACGGAGGTCGTCGACATCGACGCGTTCGAGGCCTGGCGCGACGACGAGTCCGAGGAGCGCGACGCCATCCCGGGCAAGATCAAGACCCTCACGCAGACGACGGACTTCTTCTCCTACCTCGACACCGTCGACGACGACGACGACGACGACGAGGACGAGGACGAGGACTAGGCGGCGCCGCCCGCCGGACCCGGACAAGACCGAACCCCTCCCGCCACCCCTCTGTCCCTCGCCCGCCCCCCTCCGCGAACAGGCCCAGCGACCCTTAAGCAGCTGGCCTCTCGTCGTATCGCCGCGCGACGACCACGAGGCGTCGTGCCGCGGCGGCGCGTCGCCGCGGAGAGTGTGCACATGGGCGAGGCACAGGGCGAGGCGGCGGCCTCGCGCCGCTGGCTCCCTCGGATCGCCGAGGTATCCCGCAAGCCCCCTGGATAAGCAACGCAGGAGGCGTCGCAGGGCGAGGCAGACGCCGTAGGACGCCTAGCAGGCCTCCCTCGACGTCCAAGTGGAGATTGAGCGAGCATCTCGCGACGACCCAGGCCGCCCGCCTGCGCCAATCCGCGCGGGCACGAGGGCGCATCTTTTGAATCAGTCTTAGCGCGTCCACCTGTGCGGCTTCGCCTCGTGAGCAGGCGCCCGCAAGCCCCGGGGCGCCGTCGATCGCGATGGCGGCCTCCAGATTGGGGTCCTTGCCGTGCGACGTCATGGCACACCTGCTCACCTACGCCGACGCGTCGGGCGTGCTTTGCTACGAGAGCACGTCCCGGGCCATGCGCGACCTGGTGCAAAGCTTCGAGACTTCGCTGTGGAGCGCGCTGTTGCGCGCGACGTGGCCGCGCGAGGGCGAAGCGCTCGCGTCGCTGGGCAATGGTTTTTTGCCTCGCTCAGACGGACCTCGCCAGGTCATGGCTCCTGACAGCTGTCGGCGCATATTTCGCGCGTTCCGCACGAGTCGTGACGCGAGGACGAACATCGCGCGGCTCGACGCGAACGGCTTCCACGACGATCGAACGGGCTTCGAAGCATTCGTGGCGCGTTGTCAGGCCAGAGTCGGCGCGGCGGCGATCAATCGACTCGCATTCCTCGTGACCATGGGTGAATTCAGCGGTCTAGCGACGTGGCAGATGTTTCCCGATGGACTTGGTCTAGGAAGAGAGAAATTCGGTCTCGGCTGGTCCCCGCGGGTCAATATCATGGAGCAGACGCAGTTTCGATTCGATTGCAGTTTCGAGGGTCATGGTTGGTGGACGCCGGAGGCTATTCGAGAAAAGCTGGGTAGCAAACTGCAACAGTCGATTCATGTCATTGACGTGCAAAGCTTTGAATGCGTCCAGTTTATCAAGGATGTCCACCCTTGGTCAATCGAGATTCTCGATAGAGACTATGAAGCCGAGAGACTCAAGGCAGGAGATTTGCTCACATACTCCGCTGGAAACTGTGACCTGTTCCGGCACAATCGCGAAGAGCACTTCAGCGAGAGTTCGCTCAACGAAAGGCTGATCGAGAGCGATCGCGTGGAAGCCTGCATGCTCGAACCCTTCGCCACCCTGAGACCTATCGGCTCTGATGGTAGCTTTCAGCTCCAATCTCTTACCCTGTCCTTTGACCACGGCGAATACCAGAATGTGCGCTCCACAGATCATTTCCTCGAGTTCATTGCCGACGTCGTCAAGCAGACCCATGCACCCGTGACTGGCCGCCCCGGAGACGACTACAACTCGGACCGTACCTCCTACACCAGCGACTCAGATGACCGCTCCGACTACTAATACGATCCGGAGCCTAGGTCGCTTAATTCGCAGGGGGCGATCTCGAGCTCCGCGCGGACGCTCGCGGGTCCGCCTCGGCGCGGAGGGGTCGTATTCACATGAGCGCGGCGGCGGCGAGGGCGATCGACAGCCCCGCCCAGGCGAGGGGGCCGAACTTGGGCACGCCGACCGCGTCGCACTCCGTGAGCGCGAACTTGACCGTGACGGCCGCGGTGAAGAGGTACATCGCGGCGAAGGCCTCCGCGGCGGACGCGCCCGCCGCGAGCGCGCCGAGGTAGACGCCGGTGGTGCACATGACCGCGCCGACCATCTTGAGCATGGACTTGCCGAGCGGCGAGAGCGGCACCGTGACCTTGTAGAGGTCGACGGTGAACTCGGGAAATAAAATTTTACAGTGAACGAGCACAGAAAGGCGCAGATTAGCGTATGGCACCTCCCGTTAGAACCGCTGGAAGGGCCGCGTGTCCGCGGCGACGCGCGCCCTCGCGTCGCGGCTCGCGAGGAAGCGCGCGTAGGCGTCGAGCGTCCGCGGCGTCCAGCGGCCGACGACGACGTCGACGGTGCTGTAGAGCTCGCACCAGTCGGAGCCGCCGAGGCCGCGCTTCGGCGGCGAGAGGCCGTTGGGCGACGTCACCGTGGGCACGCAGAGCGCCGCGTAGGCCTCCTCGGCGCCCGCGCGGTCGCCGCGCTCGAAGCGGATCGCCGCGAGCAGCGCGCGGCCGTCGACGAAGTTCGGGTCGCGGCGCACGAGGTTCGCCGCGCGGCGCTCCGCGTCGCCGGCGTCGCCGAGCTCCAGCGCCGCCTGGGCCCGGTTCGACGCGGGGATCGACGCGAGCGCGCGCTCGTTCGCGAGGGCGGCGGCCAGCGACCGGTCGTAGGACCGCGCGGCGGCGTCCCAGCGGAGCAGCACGGCCTGGGCGTTGCCGAGGTTGTTCCAGGCGAGCGCGTCGTCGGACGCCGCGAGCGCGACGGACCGGGAGAAGGACGCCACGGACGACTCGAGCAGGTCCCGCGCGGCGCCCGTCGGGGCCGCGCCGAGCGTCGACGCCTTGGAGCCGAGGATCAGCTCCAGCGTCCCGCGGTTGCCCCAGCAGAGCGCGTCGTCGGGCCGCCGCGCCGTGAGCGCCGTCCACTGCCGGAGCGACGCCTCGTAGTCGCCGCCGTTGAAGGACCGCAGGGCGTCGTCGACCTCGCCGCCGCGCGCCGCCGCCGGGTCGAACGCCGCCGCCGCGGCCGCCGCGCCGAAGGCCCGGCGCGACGCGACGCGCAGCGCGCCGCACGGCCGCGCGACGGCGAGGAGGAGCGCGAGCCGGTGCATGGCGCGGGTGCGGCAGCGCTGTCGCAGCGGCTGGTTCGACGCGGCGGTGTCGCAGACCTCTGGCACGCCTCGCTGCCGGACGGCGCTGCGTGCGGACGGCACAGTCGGGCCTGAGGTGGACCTGACCAGGCTGGGAGAAGGCCTCCTGGGTTGTTGAACATCAAGTTGCAGTTTTTTTATTCGAGAGAGCACGATGTGAATCGACATGCGCTCCCTGGCGCCGCTGCTCTTGCTGCACCGCTGCTCCGCAGGCTTTGAACGGGCGTGCAACGAGAGTTTAACGCCGAAGGGCGCGCACAAGCACAACGCAACACCCCCCGTGGGCTTCGTCGTGCTGAAACAGGGCAACAGCGGGAGCAGTTGGTTCTCGTCGATGATCGCGCGCCTCGACAAGACCTACTTCCTCGACGAGGCCTTCACGAACAGCGGGGCGCACGCCGCGCCGGCGAGCGACGCCGACCTCCGGCGCTACCTCGCGCGCGCGCTCGCGGAGCCCACGGGCTACTACGGCCAAGGCGAGGGCTGCCCGCGCTGGGCCGCGTGCAGCCCGGGCCCTCGCCTGCTTCGTGGACAGGAAGTGCCGCCTGCGCGCCGTCGGCTTCAGCTACAACCCGCTGCCGAGCGACGGCGGCGCGCTCGCGCCCTTGGGTCGCGTCGTGCCGGCGTGGCTCGTCGCAAACGTGCCCGCCGCGCGGCTCGTCGTCTGGGTGCGGACGAACGTCGTCAAGATGGCCCTGGCGACCCACGGCGACAAGGCCGCCGCGCGCGACTACGCCGCGACGGGCCCGAGCGACCCGGCGAAGCGCCTGGCCAAGTGGCGCGCGTCTGTGCCGAATTCGACCACTGGTTTGGGGGGTCCCCACCAAACTTCAGAATTCTCTAGCTCGGTCAAATCGAAGTCGATTCGGCTGATTTTTGGACGGATCGATTGCTCTCGTCGATTTCTCGAAGCAAAGCCGAAGAGGTTGCGTCGAAACTGTCGCGTACGCTCACATTGAAGTCGAGTTGAAGATTTGAATTCGGCACAGGCGCGCGTACGACCGGTCGGACCTCGGCCACTTCGCGGACAGCGTCAACGCGCGGATCCAGCGCAACATGGCGCTGACGGACTGGGCCCACGCCGCGGGCGACGCCGCGCTGCTCTGCTACTACGAGGCCTTCCAGCTCGACGCCTACGCCGAGATGGAGCGGGTCCGCGCCTTCCTCGGCGTGCCCGAGACGCCCGGGCGCGCCTACGACTCCGCGTCGGTCAAGGCCAGCTCCGAGGACCTCCGACGGCTCGACGCGTTCCCCGCGCTCCGGCGGCTGCTCCTCGAGACGAAGAACGACTGCCTCCGCGCCATGCTCGAGGACACGACGCCGAGGGTCTACCCGGCGTGCCGCCTGTTGACGGTCGCGGGCCTCGCCGCTCTTTCGGGAGCGAGCGGCCGTAACTGAGCCGCGTTAGGCTTTTGCACAACTCCTAGCCGCGACACCGAACGTTACGTCCCGCCCCGCCCCTAGCCGGCGAGCTCGAGGATGGCGTGCTTCTTCTTGCCCGAGCTCAGCTTGACGTCGACGCCGGCCTCGAGCGCGACGGTCGCGTCGACGTCGTCGACCTTGGCGCCGTCGAGGCGCGCGCCGCCGCCCTTGATGAGGCGCTTCGCCTCGGACTTGGACTTGGCGAAGCCCGCGGAGACGAGGGCGTCGACGACGGTGATCTCCGCGTCGCCCACGGCGACGCGCGGGAGCGACGCGGCCGAACCGCCGCCGCCCGCGAAGAGCCGGTCGACCGTCGCGTGGATGTCGGGCAACGCGTCCGCGCCGTGGAGCAGCGTCGTGCAGGCGTCGGCGAGCCGGCGCTTCGCGGCGTTGACGGCCGCGGCGTCCGGCGCCGCCGCGAGCTCCCGCTCGAGCGCGTCTACCTCCTCGAGCGGCGCGTCCGTGAACATGCGCGTGAACCGGACGACGTCGTCGTCGACCGTGTTCCGCCAGAACTGCCAGTAGTCGTAGGGCGCGAGCTTGCCCGGGCTCAGCCAGACGGCGCCCTCGGCCGTCTTGCCCATCTTGCGGCCGTCGCTCGTCGCGATGAGGGGCGCCGTGAGCCCCACGAGGCTCTTGCGGTCGACGCGCCGCGCGAGCTCGACGCCCGACACGATGTTCCCCCACTGGTCGCTGCCGCCGAGCTGGAGCTTGACGTCGTAGCGCCTCGCGAGCTCGACGAAGTCGTAGGCCTGGAGGATCATGTAGTTGAACTCGAGGAAGCTCAGCGGCTGCTCGCGGCCGAGGCGCTGCTTCACGGACTCGAAGCTCAGCATGCGGTTCACGGAGAAGTGGGACCCGAACTCCCGGAGGAACTTGACGTAGGCGAGCTCGTCGAGCCAGTCCGCGTTGTTCACGAGGACCGCCCCGCCCGGGCCGAAGTCGAGGAACTTGTCGAAGATCGCGCTGATGCCCGCGATGTTGCCCGCGATGGCGTCGTCGTCCAACAACTTCCGGCTCTCGTCCTTGCCGCTCGGGTCGCCGACCTTCGTCGTGCCGCCGCCGACCAAAACCACGGGCGTGTGGCCGTGCTTCTGGAGGAGCCGGAGGATCATGATCTGGAGTAAGGAACCGACGTGCAGGCTGTCGGCCGTCGCGTCGAACCCGAGGTACGCCGCCACGGGCCCGCCGCTCATGGCCTCGTCGAGGCCGGACAGGTCCGTGCACTGCGCGAGGTAGCCGCGTCCAATAAATTCACGCAGGAACGCGCTCTCGAGGCTAGACGGGTCCACGGCGTCGGGGGCCGCCGGCTCGGCCGTCGACGCGCGGCGCAGCGGCGCAAAGCGGGCCGCCGACCGCGGCGCGACGCGCACGAGGCACCGCGCGGTCCGCGACGCCAGGAGCATGACTAAGGTGACCGTGGGCCGCATCGGAGGCGCGCGGCGCGGATGACGAGGCGGGCCGCAGACCTCAAGCGTCTCCGTCTCGCCTCTGTCGCTGCATCGTGCCGAAGCGAGTCGGAGTGCCGGGCTTCTCTGCCAGCGGTCGCAATGGCTCCGAGGATATTATCAATCCTGCTGGCCCTCGCGGCCTCAGCGGCGGCCTTCCAGGCCCCGGTCCCGCGCCACGCGACGACGGCGCTGCGCCTCGGCGACGACCTGCCGGAGGTCGAGCCCGGGGCCATCGATTGGGATGACGAGTTCAAGAAACTGAAGCGCGGCGAGATCGACACGGGCGCGGCGCGACGAAACGAGGCCGTGTGCGCGCCCCGCGTCGCACCCGTCCCTCCTCGACGGCGCGCGCGCGACCGCCGAGAGACTTGAGCCGCGCGCGCGCGACCGCGACCGCGGACCCCGCGCCGCAGGCTCGACGTCGAGCGCGCGGGCCGCGTCGCGCGGCAGAACGTGCGCCAGACGACGCAGAAGGTGACGTCCACCGCGCGGTCCGCGGCGCGCAGCGCGCCGAAGATGCCCGCGGTGTCCAGCGACGCCAAGTTCTGGTTCGGCGTCCTCGTCGCGCTGTCGGTCTTTCCGCTCATCGTCAGCTCCCTCCAGGGGCCGCCCGACGTGTCGTCCGTCTACGTCTAGGCCGCCGCCGCCCCCGCCCACCCGCCCGCCCCTGCACACACCCGCGTAAACGTCGCGCGACGTCATTCGCGACGTCCGCCGCTCGGGAGGAAAAGGGCACCGTGTCGACGCTGCCCCATCAAGCTGCCCAGTCCGGTGAAAGTCTGGTGTTGCCCGCGGCGCTCGGCCATGGGTCGCCGCGGCCGCCTGCTGCTGCTCCTCTTCGCCGGCGCGGAGGCCTGGCAGAAGTGGGCCTACGAGTCGAACGCGACGCAGGAGTGGCGCGACCTCTGGCGGCTGCCCCAGGGCCCCGGCGCGCGGCGGGGCCACACCATGGTGCTCTTCAACACGATGATCCTCATGTTCGGCGGGCGGTCCAACGAGGTGCGGCGGAACCACGTGCCCAAGACCTACGAGATCGAGACGGTCAACGGCACCATCGACTTCGTCAGCTACGACAAGAACCCCATCGTCGACGGCACGTGCCGGTTGACGAATTCGTCCGAGGCCGGCGGCAACGCGTCGGCGTACTACGTCTGCGACAACCAGATCGACGTGGGCCTCTACTTCAACGACGTCTGGGCCTACGAGCTCAACTGCACGCGCTACGGCGACCTGCCCTGCGTCGAGCACACGTGGACGGTGCTCAACTACGGCGCGCATCGCGGCGGCTGCAAGTACATCTTGGGCCGCGAGATCTGCACGCACCCGAGCGAGCGCTGGCTCCACGGCGCCGCCATGTTTTTAGATTCGACCATGCTCATCTACGGCGGCTTCAGCCAGCGCTGCGAGGACTACTGCGACGACCTGTGGAGCTTCGACGTCCGCGACGGGTCGTGGATGGAGATCTACGAGGTGGGCCACTTCAACCCGGGCGAGTCGCCGGGCAAGCGCTGGAAGTTCTCCATCGTGGCCGACGGGACGACGTTCTACATCTTCGGCGGCTTCCGGCTCTGGCACGGCTTCTCGTCGGACAACTCGGAGGACAACCGGTGGGACTCGTACGAGCTGCTGCCCCAGGGCGGCTACCTGAGCGACCTCTGGGTCTACGAGAAGCGGCTGCTGGCGCCGGAGGAGCCCATGCCGACGTCGTCGGCGGGGCTCGGCACCTGGACGAACCTCACGGAGAAGCTCACGCGCACGACGGGGCAGGACAAGAGAGCGAAATTCCCAACTTCAAAGGCTCGTTTCTCGGCCGTTTTCCACTCGTTTCGGCTGATCTTTGGACGAGCGATCGTCTCTCGGAACGGTCTCGAAGCGTGGATGTGTTTTCTGTAACGCACGCGCGCGGAACACTCACGTTGAAGCGACGTTGAATCACCCTTGTGCTGCCCAGGTGCACGACGATCCCGGGCGACACGTGGGACGAGCGCGACGCGCAGTCGTGCGTCGCGTCCTGGCCCCAGGCCCGCGCGGGCCACGTCGCCGCGCTGGACCAGGAGCGCAACGGCATGTGGATCTTCGGGGGCTACACGACCTTCTTCCCCTACCTGTCCACGGACGGCCCGGGCTCGGGCCTCGGCGTCGTCGCGAAGCCGACGGCCCAGGGCTTCATTCCGTTTCCGGACTACCCCTACTACCTCGACGATCTGTGGTTCTACAATTTGACGGACGGCTACTGGACGTTGATCGCGCCCGTGTCGTCCTCGAACCCGGCCCCGCGGTGCGACACGACCTTGGTGCTCGACGGGCGGATTTTGATCATGTTCGGCGGCTTCAACGGGTCCCACCACTTCGACGACACGTGGTACTTCAACACGACGGAGTCGTCCATGCGCTGGCTCCAGAAGAAGGGCGTCGTCTACCCGCTCTGGCCGGAGAACTGCACGTCGGACCTCGAGACCGTCGAGGACAACTTGGACGAGTGCTTCCTCCTCGAGTGGAAGCGGCCCGTGCGGGCCCACTGCCAGTCGCCGTCCCAGGCCGGCTGCCGCTTCAACGACTGGTACGCGCCGGACCCGAACAACAGCGCGCTCAACTTCGGGACCTACAACGGCGCGCCGTTCTACGGCATCGTCGACGCGCGGGACAGGGCAGGACAAGAGTGATTCAACGTCGCTTCAACGTGAGTGTTCCGCGCGCGCTCGTTCCAGAAAAAGCATCCACGCTTCGAGACCGTTCCGAGAGATGATCGCTCGTCCAAAAATCAGCCGAAACGAGTGGAGAACGGCCGAGAAAGGAGCCTTTGAAGTTGGGAATTTCGCACTCTTGTCCTGCCCAGGCGCGCGACCCGGCGCCGACGGAGCCCGCGGGCGAGAACCAGCCCATCGTGCCCGAGGCGGCGACGGGGCCGCGCCAGTGGGTGCGGGGCGCCCAGTGGTGGAACGACTCCTGGGTCGCGCGCCACGAGCGCCTCGGCGACATCGGCGACTACTTTGTGGAGGTCGAGACCGTCGACGACGCGAACGAGTCGTACACGACGTACAGCGGCACCTACTACCGGCGCTGCACGTCCGTCAAGGGCGAGGTGACGCGCGGCGGCACCATGGGCTGGCGCGGCGGCACGACGGACGGCGTCGCGGGCCGCGCGACGGAGCCGATCCTCGTGCCGCAGCCGCGGCGGCGCGCGCCGGGCTGGGACGGGTGCCGCGACCAGTGCTTCGGCGTCGTCCCGTCGAACCTGTACATGGACGCGAGCAATTTGTTCGACTGCCCCCTCGACGCGACGCTCCTCCCGGACATCGGCCTCCAGTACCTCCACCCGAACCAGCGGTCGGACCACGCGGCGATCAGGGCAGCAAAAGAGAGCGACATTCCCAACTTCAAAGGCTCCTATCTCGGCCGTTTTCCACTCGTTTCGGCTGATCTTTGGACGAGCGATCATCTCTCGGAACGGTCTCGAAGCATGGACGCTCTTTTCGGAACGCGCGCGCGCGGAACACTCACGTTGAAGCGACGTTTCATCACTCTTTTGCTGCCCAGGCGGCGATCCACGCGCCCATGCTCGGGCAGACGCCGACGGAGAGCCGCTTCCTCGGCGAGCTTTATATTTTTGGCGGCGTGGGCTACGAGCGCGAGTACTACCAGACGACGAACACGACCTTCCAGACGGCCGTGCTCGACGACATGTGGCGCCTGGGCATCCACGACTGCCCCTACAACTGCTCGAACCAGGGCGACTGCGTCTACGGCTTCTGCCGCTGCTACCCGGGCTACTACGGCGTCGACTGCTCCAACATCTCCTGCCCCGGCGACTTCTGCTACATCGACGAGGACACGAACATCCAGGTCTGCCAGCACTGCTGCCAGGCGGGCTACAACCACACGGACGGCGACTCGTACGAGATCGACGTGCCGCGCGTGCCCTGCTCCTTCGAGAGCCAGCAGCTCGACGGGTCCTTCGGCGAGTCCAACGGCATCTGCGACGGCTTCGGCACCTGCCAGTGCGCGCCGCCCTACATCCTCGACGACTGCAGCGTCAAGGACTGCAAGCACAACTGCTCCGCGCGCGGCCACTGCTCCGTCGAGTTCCCCGTGAGCCGCTGCATCTGCAACCCGGGCTACTACGGCGAGTACTGCCAGTTCAAGGTCTGCCTGAACAACTGCTCCTACCCGAACGGCCACTGCGACCCCGTGACGGGCGAGTGCGAGTGCGAGATGATGTACGAGCCCTACTTGAACACGCGCGAGTACCACCGGTGGGAGGGCGAGGACTGCTCCTACCTGTGGGCCTACTGCGCCGGCACGAAAGCGACGCCCGCGGCCTGGGCCCTCGTCGGCGGCGCCGCCCTCTACCTCGGCCTCGGCCCCGGCGGCGCGCCGCGGCGCCGGAAACGCCGGCGCCGCGGTCGGCCGCGCGTGCCGCCGCGGGGGATGCCCTAACACCCGTTCTATGCGAACCGCGCCTCGTACGCGGGGGATGCCCGAAAAACCCGTTTATACGGAAGCCCCCCCCCCTAGTCCTTGGTCTCGACGGCGACCTGGCCCTCGTCGGGCGCGGGCGCGACGCGGCGGCGGCGGCTCCGGCTCCGCCGCGAGGGGATGCGGAGCCGCGTGAAGAGGCGGCTCACGCGGCTCCGGTGGAGCGACGTCGGCTTGCTCGTCGGCGGCGGCGCGTCCTCCCAGGCCTTCTGCGGCGGGTCCACGGAGAGGGCCGTCGGCGTCTTGGGCTTGGGGAGCGCCTCCGCGGGCGGCTCGTCCGCCGCGGGCGCCTCCGGGAACCGCAGCGGCCCCCGGAGCCGCCGCGCCTCGGCGGCAGAGAGCGCGTCGCCGACGTTGACCGCCGGCGCGCGGCCCGCGCCGTCGAAGTCGCGCCAGGTCTCGTTGAAGAGCGCGAGCACGCGCCGCGTCGCGTCGGACGCCGAGACGCGGAGGTGTCCGGCGACCGCGGCCACGGACCCGAGCCGCGCCACGTCGCCGAAGGCGCGCAGCGCCGGCGGCGCCGCCGGCTCCTCGAGCGCGTCGAGGGCCGGCGCGAGGTCCCGCGCGGGGCCCGGCGAGCCCGAACCGTCGGCCGCGAAGCGGCCCGGCGTCCGCCGCTCCGGCGACGCCATGGCCATGACGACGGACCCGTCCATGCTCTCCTCGAGGCGGTCCGGCGGCGCGTCGACGGAGGCGACGGACATGTCGAGGCTCGGCGACGCCGACAGCGTCGGGGGCGCCGCCTTCGGGGCGCGCGTCTTCTTCTTCTTGCGCACGTTTTTCGGCTGCGTCGGCGCGACGCTGATGGGCTCCAGCTTCTTGAGCGACGTCGACGCCGGCATATCGCCGAGCCGCCGGGCGGCGAGCGGGTCGCTCGGCGCGCCGAGAGGGCGGAGGACCGCCAGCCCGGGCTCCATGGACATGTCGGGAGCGCTCCGTGTCCAGCGCGCGGGCTGCCGCGTCGGCAAATCTCAACCGTTCGGTGTGAATCTTGCCCTTCAATTGCCGTTGTTGATTGGTCGTGCGGCAAGGCTTCGTCTCGCGCAGTCTTCAGAAAGTTTGTCAGTGGCGTTGTGATTTCAAGGCCTGCCAGCCGCACGACCTATCAACAACGGCAAGTTACGGCGCCTTCTGCATGCCCGGCGCGCCGTGGACGGCCGCGAGGTCCCAGCCCGGCGGGAAGGGCTCCTCGGCCGCGGAGCGCACCTTGCCGCAGGCCGTCGCGCGCGGCTGGAGGCAGAGCTCCGCGCGGTCCACGTTGACGTACGTGTCCGGCGCCTCGAGCGCGTCGAGCACGCGCGGGTTGAACTCCTTCGCGAGGAAGGTCGTGTTCACGTAGGCGCGCCACTCGTTCCACCACCAGCCCGTCATCACGACGATCCAGGGCTTGTGGAACAGGTACTTGACGGGCCCGTGCATCTCGCGGACGTTGAGCTTCACGTGGTCGTACCAGGGCTTGTCGAGCCAGACGAAGTGGGCCATGGACACGTGCTCGTAGGCCTTGGCCCGCACGCCCGACGCCGCGCCGGCGGCGGCGGCGAGCACGGGCGCGAAGCCGTAGGCGCAGTAGGGCGCGCCCATCCAGCCCCGCGACACGGGCCCGTTGTCGCGCTCGCCCGGGAACGCGAGCTGGACGTTGAAGCGCGCGGGCAGGTAGTGGACGGGCACGTCGCTGCGGCCGATGGCGAGGTTGATGAGATCCTGGCCGCCGGACATGTAGCCGCGCGACGCCTCGACGACCCTGGCGCACCACGCGGCCCAGCCCTTCTCGACCATCTTCGCGTTGTTGAAGACCAGCACGCCGTAGTTCGTGCCGTCGCGGAAGGCGAAGCCCGCCGGCGCCGCCTCCTGCAGCGCGGCGCGCGACCGGTTGTCGTAGAAGGCCGGGTAGCCCACGAGAAGCTCGTCGCGGTCGCGCTTGCCGTCCGGGCGGAGCGGGTCGTCGAGCGACCGCTGGGGCGCGTCGGCGTCCCAGCACTCCTTGGGGTAGACGCGGATCATGCCGATGCCCGCGACCTTGGGGAGCTCCTTCAATAACAGGTTGTCCGTCGCGAAGACGTCGTAGTCGATGGCGACCGTGTACGCGTAGCCCCGTTCCGCCAAGATTTCGGGCACGACCATGGGCATGTAGCAGTGGGGCGGCCAGGGCGTCTTGTAGTGGGCGTGGATGTCCGAATTCTGGTAGCGGATCTTGATGATGAGGTCGATGAGCGGGTGGTCGATGACGAGCGTCTCGACGCCGAACTGCTCCTTGGCCGTCGTGAGGCTCCGCGTGTTGACCAAACAGGGCGACGTCTGGTCCGCCTGCCACCAGGGCCCCGTCGTCGCGTCGCGCGGCAGCCGCTTGCAGTGCTGCTCGTTCCAGTCGCCGTCGCCGACGACGAAGAGGCCCGCGTCCGGGTAGAACTGCCTGACGCGGAGCAGCGCGACGAGCGCGGGCTTGAGGCCGAAGCTGTTCGTGCTCACGGCGAAGGCGACGCGGGGGTCGCTGGCTCCTATTCTCAGCAGGAGGAGCAGGCCGAGCGCGCGGGCAGCCCCGGCCATCATCGTCAGCGTCGAGGTGCAATGTCGACACGGCACTTCATCGTAAAAATAGCGGCTTACGACGATGGAATGCGCCCACTCTGAGTCGCCGCGACGGATCCTAGCAACGAGCTCCACGCTCGGATAGAGAGCTCGATACGTCGTGAGCCGTTCGCCGCGTGAGCCGCTCCGTCGCACCATGACCGACGACGGCCGGCGCGGCTCCATCGACGCCTCGCCGCTCGACGCCGCGGCGCCGTCGCCCCTCACGTCCGCCGCCGGCGCCGACGACGAGCTCTACGAGCAGGCCCTCGGTGCGCTGGCGTCGTCCGTGGCGCTGCTGGAGGCGCTCGGGCGGAGGCACGTCGCGCCGTCGCCGGGCCAGCTCGACCGCTCCCGGGCGCTCGCGTCGCGGTGCGCGTCCGCGTCCGAGGACGCGTCGGAGGAGGCGCTCGGCATCCTGGAGAAGCCCAAACCCACGGGGAGCCGCATGGCCGCGTGGAAGCGGCGCGCGGAGCTCGCCATGACGGCCCAGCACATGGCGCGGAAGGCGCACCAGCGCCGCCAGAAGGACCTCGACGACCGCGAGCGGCTGCGCATCGCCGCGGCGTCGTCCATGTCCGGGAAGAAGCCCGAGGAGTACAACGCCGAGGAGGCGCGCGCCAAGGTCCACGGCGACACGCTCGAGCGGTCCCTCGCGCGCGCGGACGCGGCGTGCTGCGGGAAGAAGGCCGCCGCGCCGCGGGAGAAGCGGCGGAAGAAGGGCCGGGGGTACCTCGACCGGAACGCGTCGCAGACGGAGAACATGATGCTCCGCCTCGCGATGATGTCGAGCGCGCGCGAGGCGAGCCGCTTCTCCGTGCACCCGGAGTCGCGGCTCGTGCAGCGCGAGTCCTACGCGATCATCTTGGCCATGCTCTTCACGGTCGTGGAGATGCCGCTGAGCCTGGGCTTCGGCGACGACGCCGTGAACCGCGGGCCCGTCATGCCCGGCGTCCTCTGCGCCCTCGACATGCTCTTCATCGCCGACGTGGCCCTGAACTGCGTGACGGGCGTCCAGGACGGGCCGGAGATCGTCATGCAGCAGCCGCGGATCCTGGCGCGGTATTTGAAGGGGTGGTGCGCGATGGACGTGATCTCGTCGGTGCCCCTGGCGACGCTCGCGGCGCTGAGCTTCGACGTGGGCGCGCTCCGGACTTTGCGTTTGTTGAAGGTTTTCAAGCTCGCGCGATTGGCCAAGGTCACGCGCGTCGGCGAGGTCACGCGGAATCTCGTGGACAGCGGCTTCGTGAACCAGGCCTTCGTGTCGCTGGTTGCTTTGCTCGTCCTCTTCGGCGCGGTGCAGCACTGGCTCGCGTGCCTCTACTGGGCCGTCGCGCGGCGGACGGAGCACGACTGGGGCAAGGACGAGGCGAAAGCCCGGGGCTTCGCGCCGGCGGCGGACCTCGCGGACGAGCCCCTCGGCGCGCGGTTGGTTTTCGCCTACCACTGGGCCGTCTACGCGACCTACGCGGCCGTGCCGAACACGATGGGGACCCTGCGGCTGAAGCCGGCCCAGTCGCTCTACTGCGTCTTCTGCGCGCTCGTGGGCATGCTCTTCATGTCCGTGCTCATCGGCGAGGTCGCGTCGATCCTGGACGACATCCGCATCGAGGACCACGACAAGCAGGCGGCGCTCAAGTCCATCGACGAGTTCATGAACCACCACAACATCGCCTACGAGCTGAGGGCGCGCATCCGGCTCCACTACATCTTCCTCTACAACAACAAGCACACGCGGCGCTTCGACGACATCTTCGCCGTGCTCCCCGCCGAGCTCAAGAGCAAGCTCTCCGTCGGCGTCCGCGTGCCCTATTTGAGGCGGACGTCCTGCTTCGTCGACCTCCGGCCGACGTGCGTGTCCGCGGTCGCGTCGGCGATGGTCACGACGCACTACGCGCCCATGGACCTCGTCTTCTCCCAGTCCGAGGACGCCGACGGCGTCCGCTGCATCGCCGACGGCAACGTCTTCCACTTCATCCGGGGCCTGCCCTGGCCCAAGGTCATCGCCGCCACCAAAGTCGACGACACCTTCGGCGAGGAGTGCGTGCTCCTCATGAAGAGCCGCATGTTCGTCTACGGCACGACGCAGCGTCCCGCGGCCTTGACGATTTTCGAGAGCTTTGGGGTGGGAAAACGATGAAAAATCGTGACCGACGCACTTGGTAGGCACGATGGCGCACGTCCACTGCGAGATCTTCTGCCTGCCGGCCTTCGAGGTCGACGTGCTGGGCCACCAGTACCCGACGTTCAACCCGTCGGTCTACGCGTCCGCGGAGCGCAAGCTCGCCGCGCTGCAGCTCGCGCTCACGCGCCACATCCTCGCGCCGCGGCTCCACGACTTCGTCGTGCGCTGGAAGCGGCGGCACGAGCCCGCGCCGCGGCCCGGCTTCTCCCGGCTGGGGTCGCAGTCCATGCACGACATGGGGTCCTTCATCTCCAAGCAGGCGCGCCAGCTCTCCGTCCGCGTCGCGCCCCTCGTCATGGGGGGGCAGAAGCCGCCCGCGAAGCTCGCGCCGCTCGAGAGCACCGCCGAGCACTCACAAACACACACGTACACGCGCACATCCGGGGACTAAGTCGATATAAGGCGATATGTTACAGGGGACCCTCGGCCGCCTCGGCGCCGTCGTCCGCGTCGGACGCGCGGCGCGGCGCGGCGGGCGACGCCGGCGCTTCGTCGGCCTGGCGCGCCGCGAGGCGGCCCTGCTCGCGGAGCGGCCGGAGCTGCGTCCGCGCGTGGGCGATGGACTCCTCGGTCATGGCCGTGATGGGCGCGAAGACGAGGCGGTCCTCGAGGCCCGCGCGCCGGTCTCTTGGCCGCGCGGCGACGTCGAGCACGTTCACCTTGCACATGCCCCAGTGGCCGCGCGCGATCTCCCCCAGCAGCTGCGTCCGGCTCCAGCGCGCGTCGCCCCAGAAGCAGTAGACCGTGCCCCCAAAGGGCTCCGCGTCCGCCGGCGGCGGCGCCGTCTGCGTCGCCGACTCCGCGCCCGGCGGCGGCGGCTCCGGCGCCGCGGCGTCCGGCGGCGGCGGCGGCGGCGGCGCGGGCTCCGGCGCGTCGAGCTCCGCGGGCGCGTCGTCCTCGTCCGAGTCCCCGGACTCGTCCTCGTCCTCGTCCTCGCCTCCTCCTCGTCCTCGGAGTCGACGCCGAAGAGGCTCGACGGCTCGAGCGCGAGGTTCTCCGGCTTCACCGCCAGGACCCGGCCCGCGTCCGCGTCCGTCGTCGCGAGCACGACCTGCCAGCGGCCCTGGCGCGCCGACAGCACGACGGCGAGGCGGCCGTTCAGGCGCGCAGCGCTCGTGAGGCCCCGGAGCCGCACGCGCTGGCCCGGCCCGAGCCGCGCGTCGCCCGGCGGCGCCGACTCGTCGTCGACGGTCGACGTCTCCGCGGCGTCGTCGTCGCGGATGCGCTTCTTCGACCCGGGCGGGTCGCGGCAGCGCGCCGCGAGGCGCGCGGCGAGGAAGAGGGCCTCGTCCAGCGTCTCCACGACCTTGTAGCCCGCCGCGCCGCCCGCGCCGAGGACGAGGCATCGGACGACCGACCGCTCGTCGCAGGGGCCTCCCACGTGGTGCACGACGGCCACGCGCTCCGCGGCGCGGGCCCAGGTCGCGCCGCGCGCGGAGCGCACCTTGGCCAGCGCCGCCGCGCGCGCCCGCGACGCGCGGGGCGCGTCGTTGAAGGATGGCGGTAAAGGCCGCGCGAGGTTGACGGCCGCGACGTGGTCGTCGCCGCACGTCCGCGGCAGGAGCGCGCCGCGCGGGTCCACCTCGGCGAGCACGACGGTTGCTGGGGCTGTTAAGGCTTGGAACGCGGCCAGCAGCGCGTCCTCGTCGTCCGCGGCGACGTCCGCCAGCGAGCCGCGGCCCGTGACCTTCAACCGCTTCCCGCGGAGCACGACCATTAAACCGCCGTCCGCCATGGACCGCAGGCGCCGCAGGGAAGCTTCCGAGTCGAGCTCCAGCGCGAACAGGCCGTCGTCGTCCTCGACGCCCGTGATGAGGTAGGCCCCGCCGGACCAGTGCTCGTACGACGACGCGCGCCGCAAACTCCGCGGCATCGAACCCAGCTGCGCGGCGAGCTCCGCGGTGAATTCCGCCCCCGCGCCGATGACGCAGCCCTCGTCGATCAAGCTCGCGATCTCGACGCCCGTGAAGGACTGCATGAGCTCGTGGCGCGTCGGCGGCGGGCACGTGTAGGGTTGTTTGCAGACGTTGCAGTCGTGCTGCCGCTGGTCCTCGCCGTGGAACATGGGGTGCGTCGGCTGGGACACGAGCACCATGCGCTGCCAGCGGCGCAGGCAGTCGAGGTGGACCCACTTCTGGCCGCCCTTGCAGGCGCAGGGACTGATCAATTCGCCCTCCTCCTCGCCGTCGAAGCAGTAGCGGCAGAGCTTCTCCTCGCCGTCGTCGCCGTCTTGTGGTGGCGGCGGCGGCGGCGCGGCCGCGGGCGGCGGCGGCGGCGCCGCGGTCGCGGCGGCCGGCGGCGGCGGCGGCGGGGCATCGGGGACCGCCGCTCCCGGCGGCGGGGCGTCCGATCCAGCGTCTGCCATGCTCGTTGGCTGTGGAGAGATTCTCGAGGCCTCGGCACGATCGAGCGTCGATCCGCGGCGCTGGGGGGGGTCTCTCGAGCTCCGCGAGCAGCGGCGCCGGGAGACGACGCAAGCGGCCCCGCGGCGCAAGCGTTTTGGACGAGGTTCGTGCCAGACCTCTCTGGTTACATCCGCACACACACGCGAGAAGGCACGATCCTCCCGACAGGACACAAGTTCGACGGCGAGATGCTCCAGCTCCGCGACGCGAGGAAGCGCCGCGCGGACGACGTCACACTCGCGGCGGTGGGTCGCGCGGGGGCCTTCGTGGACGAGCAGCTCGAGGGCCGCGCGGGCCTCGGTGACGGCCGACCTCGCCGCCGGCCAATTCGCCGTAGAGGTGCTCCCTGAGGCCGTTGTGGAGACTCCGTGGTAACACGGGCATGAAGCCCGATGGGCCGGTTCAGCCCGCCGACGGCTCCCTGGGCCGCCCCCGGACCCTGGCCGACGGAGGCGTTTCTTCGTCTTCCTGACGGCGACCTGCACGGCCCTGAGCAACGCCGCGCATGTGTATAGGTCGACAACGTCGTCTTCATATCGCCGCTCCATTCACTCACGCGCGCGTGCAAGCCCGGCTGCTACGTCGCCGTCGGCAAGCCACCACACCCGCAAACTTGAAACTACGACCCCTCCTTAGGCTTCGCGCCGTCGCCTCCGCGGAGCCGCGCGAGGACGTCGTCGACGTCCGCCGCGTGGAGGCCGTGCGCGAAGAAGACGAGCGTCGTCCAGACCGACACCTGGCTGACGGGCGCGAGGACGTGGAGGTGGAGGTGGTCCACGCTGTTAAACGGCCGGCGATGGAAGCGGAGCCAGTAGTCGTTGGCCTTGAACGCGTCGGGCTTCTCGCGCGCGCAGATGTCGAGCGCGATGCGCTTGAGGTCCTCGACGACCGGCAAATCCTCGGGTCCCAGCGCGTCCGGGTCCTGGAGGAGGCGCCGCTTCGGGATGACGAGGCCCGCGAGCGGCGCGTAGGGCTTGATGTTGCGGAACGCGAAGTAGGTCTCGTCCTCGTGGAGCACGCGCACGGGCTGCTCGCGGCGCAGCAATTTGCCGAAGACCGTGGGATTCTTCTCGATGTCCTCGGCGAGCGTGCTGTAGCGCTCCCGCGGCACGATCGAGCGCTGGCAGCCGAAGGCGCGGAACATCTCCGGCAGCGTCGACGCCCACAGGCCCAGGGCGAAGGGCGCGCAGAGCAGCACGGCGACGACCCGCCGCGTCCGGCGCATCCAACGCGGAGCAGCGGCGCGCGGCGGAGAGGCACGCGGAGCGCAGCGCGCGGCGCACAACGCGCGCACCGCGGACACCGACGGCGTCGGCAGGCGCCGCGAGAGCTATTGCCACAAAACTTCAATTTTGTAATGTTTACGTCAACAACCGCCGTCTCCGGGCAGCCATCCTCCGTGTTCGTGCTCTCCGAGCGCCGAGACGCGGCCGTCGTCCGGGGAGCGCGCTTCACGAACCACCGTCTCCGCGGGCAGCCATCCTCCGTCTCCCGTGCTCTGCGACCGTCGTCCGTGACAGCGCGTCGACGGCAACCATGCCGCTGCCCGGGCGCCCCCTCCAGTACGGCGAGCTGCCGACGAATTCCATCTACCACCGGCCGACGCTGCGCCACCCGCTGCACCCCGCGCGCCCGGCGACGCACGTGAGCCGCGGCGCCCGGGCCCGCGCGCGCATCGCCAAGTCGGGCCTGCGCCGGCGGTGCTACGTGCCCGAGCACCGGCGGAGCCGCGCCGACGCCGCGAAGACGCTGGTGCTCGAGCCGCGGCCCGGCGCGGTGCCCGCGGCCGCGCGCGAAAAATACTGCGCCATGTGCGCGAGCCCGGGCCGGGCCCCGTCCGCGAGCGCCGCCGCGGACTACGACGCCGCCTTCGAGTGGCGCCACACGGGCGTCGAGCTCCGAAGCCGCGTCGACTGCCTCAGCGCGCTGGCGGAATGCGGCGACAAGCAGTGCGGCTGCTACCGCCTGGGCGCCTTCGGCGACTCGCGGGAGGTCTTCAGCACGGCCGTCGCGCTGGAGGCGCAGCGCCGGTTCCCGAGCTTCGTGCCCGGGCGCCACGCGGGCGCGCTGCGCTACGTGTCCGTCGGCTGCGGCTTTCTCCTGTCGGACTGGGAGGTGCTCACGCGGCTCTTGGGCTGCGGCTACCGCGTCGAGTCCGCGGCGCTCGTCGACACGCTCTACGGGTCGCGCGACACGCGCGCGACGGCCGCGCTCCAGCAGCTCGCGGACTGGGTCCACGGCGCGCAGCGCGGCGGGCCCGAGGCGTCCGTCGTCGCCTACGCGTCGCTCGCCGCGTTCGGCGCCGCGACGGCCAACTGGTGCCACCTCTTCGTGCAGATGGACGCGTCGGACATCGACGGCGAGACCGCGCTGGACCTCGCGTGCCGGACCCTCGCGCCGGGCGGCGTCTACGCGCGCCTCGAGAACCACCAGCGCAAGGGCGCCTTCGCGGGCGCCTGGGCGAAGACTGAGGCGGGCGCCATGGAGCCCGTCGACGACTTCATCTCCAACGCGCGGGCCCACGTCGAGACGGACCGAGAGAGGCGGCGAGAGGCCGACGCCGCGCCGCTACCGCAAACGGCGACGCTCGACGACCTCCTCGCGCGGAGCGGCGCGAGCCTGCGGCGCGAGTGCGACCTCCGGGGCATCGACGCGACGGGCGCGCGCGAGGGCGTCGCGCGGCGCCTCCTCGACGCCCTCGGCGACGGCGCGGCCGGGCCGCCGTCGTCGAAGCTCGCGCGCAAGCTCGGCCGCGACATCGCACGGGCCTATGGCTGATTCAGACCACCGCCGGACCCCGGATTTCGTTCACAACTTAAGGGGGAGGGGAGATCGCACTTTGAGATCGCGGTCGTTCCGGGACCGCCGCCGGACCAACTTGAACCCCGGCTTTCGTTCACAACTTAAGGGGGAGGGGGGGATCACATGCCCTTCTGCCGCTTAGAGAAGAAGGAGAGGCCCTTGGTGCGGCCCTCCGCGGCGCAGAGGCGGCAGGACGGCGGCGGGATGGCCGAGACCGCGGCGGCGATCGCGCTCGCGAGGGCCGGGTGGCCGCAGGGGAGGCAGGCGATGGTGTCCGTCGAGTGGAAGAGCGACTCGCCGCTGAGGCTGCAACTCGGCGAGGCGCCGCCGCCCCGGCCGGCCGCGCCCGCGCAGACGTGCGTGTCGAGATTCGCCAGCGACACGCACATGTTGCACTTCATGCAGTGGTGGAAGTCGATGCCGAGGCCGTGGCCCCGGCGGCAGACGTTGCAGAAGGGGCAGTGGTACGTCGGGATCATGGACGAGTCGAAGAGCTTGCAGACGCCGCAGTGGTACGCCCCGGCTTTCGTGCCGCAGCCGCCGCAGACCCCCCCGACGGGCCCCCAGACGCCGCAGGCGCCGCAGAGCATCTGCTCGACGCGCGCCGACTCCATGGCCTTGCCGCAGCCCGCGGCGTCGTGGCACTTGCGGCAGCAGACCGTCGCGCCGCAGCAGGGCGCGCGGACGCGCGTCGTGTGGCCGTAGTGCGGGCACGGCGCCATGGGCTTCGGCGGCGTCGCGGGCGGCGGCGGCGGCGGGTTCGCGCCGAGGAGCGGCGGCGGCGGCACGCGCTGCGTCGAGCCGAGCTCGTGGTCGAGCCACTCGCGGAACTTGGTGCGCTTCGCGACGTCGCACATCGTCGCCAAGACGTGGCGCGCGTGCTCCGGGGCTAAATGATTGACCTCCATGCGGATCGTCTTCGCCAACACGTCCGCCGGCCGGCTCCCGATGACTAGCCCCACGAGCACGCCGAGCTCGCAGTCGTCGAAGCGCGCCAACGCCGGGAAGATCTGGTCCTCCTCGCGCATCATGTGCTCGCACAGCCGCTCCTTCAACGACACGAGCACCGCGACCGTCTCCCGCGTCACGCCCCGGGCCGACGCCTCGACGACCGCGGCCTCGCAGGCCTGCATGGCGTTGGCCTCCTCGATGTGCTCGTCGGCCGCCTCCGCCGCTAAGGAGCAGCCCTTGCGCGCGAGCGCGGGGAAGATGAAGTCGTCCTCCGCGGACGAGTGGGAGCTGAAGACGGCGTCGAAGTCCCTGTAGCGCCGCTCGAGGGCGTGGAGGCCCTCGGCGTACCGGCCCATGCCCGCCAAACCGCTCGCGAGCTGGCACATGGACTCGAGCTCGAAGCGCATCGCCCGGTGGAGCAGCGTGATCTCGACGAGCGGGCTCCGCGACACGATCTCCTTGCGCTTGCGGCTCGGGGCGGCGCGGGCCCTCATCTCGCCGGGGTTGCCGCGGCGCGACGTCTTTGGGTGTGTCTGGGCGCCCGCCCCGGCGTGCGGAGACGAGCTGAACGCGGGTGAGAGTGGGAAGTGGCCGCCGTCGACGGGATCGACGCGCCCCGCTCGAATTCGGCGCGGCGTTTATGGGTGTGGGTGTTGGGGCGGTGTCGAGGGCGCCCCCGCACGGCCGAAATCGGCTGTGCAGGCCAAGTTGACGAAACACGGACGCGCGGCTCGCAGGCGGCGACGGCAGTCAAGTCCGGGCAAAGGCCTAAATAGAGCATGCACGTGCCTCCTTAAGGAAGCGGGCTTCGATGCAACTTTAGCCTAACCTTTGAATTTACCCTCGTCTCGAACCTGAACGGCCTAGCACAGCCGACTCGGTACGTCAAATACCCACTTAAAACCCCCGCCGTTTCGCCAGGTCCTCGAGCGCCGCGTCGACGTCGGCCGCGCGCAGCTCCGGCGCGGCGGCGACGGGCAGGTCGCGCGGCGGCCCGCGCTCGCCCGCGAGGCCCGCGGCGGCCAACAGCGCGTCGACCTCGGTCCGCGCCAGCGGCCGGGCGGCGCCGACGGGCAGGTCGCCGAGCTCGAGGGGCCCGACGCGGTCGCGGTGGAGCGCCGTCACCGAGAGACCCGCGCGCTCCGCGAGCCTCCGGACCTGGCGGTTGCGGCCCTCGGCGATGACGACCGCGAGCGTCGCGGTCGCCGCGCGCCGCGCCTCGATAGACACCTCCGCCGGCGCCGTGCGGACGCGCTCGCGCGTGTGCGGCGTGACGTCGTCGAGCGGCTCCGCCAGCGACCGCAGCGCCCGCTCGCCCGCGGCGCCCGCCGGCACGCCGGCGACGTCGAGGACGTAGGCCTTGGTCGTGGTGCCGGCGGAGATGAGCCGCTTGCTCACGGCGCCGTCGTCCGTGAAGAGCAGCAGCCCCGTCGTGTCCTTGTCGAGCCGGCCGACGGGGCCGAGATCCGGGAACCCGTCGGGCAGCACATCGAAGACCGTCGTCGCCCGGCCCGACGCGTCGCGCTGCGTCACGCAGCCGAGGGGCTTGTGGAACATGAAGTAGTAGTGCCGCCGCTTCGCGAAGGACTCGCGCCGGCTCGTCGCCGACGCTTCGCCGTTCCAGGGCCGCGCGCATCGGCCGGCGCGCGCGCCGCGCGCGGTCTTGCGCACCTTGCGCGTCGCCAGGCCCGTGAGCCGTGCGAGCGTCGTCGCCGTCGCCGCCGACGGGTAGGGCACGAGCGAGCGCTGGATGCGCGAATCGGAAAGCAGCTCCTGCGGGTAGCGCTGCGCCGCCGCCAGCCAGCGCCGCCGCCGCCGCCAGCGCGCGACGATCGCGGCTGCTGTCGCCGCGAGCGCCGCCGCGAGCGCTGCGCGCGCGAGCGTCGGCGTCGTCGAGAGCATACGCTGGACGGTGCTAGCTCCAGCTACGCTGGGCCCTGCCGCTCCATCATCATCATCATCTCCCAAAACTCTCTGTGGCAAGAGCTCGATGGAGCGCGCGCGCGACGGAGACGACTTCGGGCGCGACCGGCGCGACGACAGGCGCAGCTCGCGTAGTCGCGAGCGGAGACGCAGCCGCTCGCGCAGCCGCGACCGGCGCGAGCGGAGGCGGAGCCACGACCGCAGCCGTAGAGATCACAGAGACCGCAGCCGCGACCGCAGCCGTGGAGACCGCAGCCGTGGAGACCGCAGCCGCGGCGACCGCGACCGGAGCCGCAGCCGCGGCGACCGCGACCGGAGCCGCGGCGACCGGAGCCGCGACCGGCGCGACGGCTCGCGGGACCGCGACCGCCGCGCGGACGACGCGTACGGCTTCCGGCGCCGCTCGCCGCCGCCGCGCCGCGCGCCGCCGCCGCCGCGCCGCGCGTCGCCGCCGCGCCGCGCGCCGCCGCCGCCCGTCGACGACGAGCGCTTCCGCCCGCGCGGCGACGGACCGAAGCGCCTGCGGCCGAACGCGAAGTCCTTCGCCGGGTTCCTCACGTCCGTCGTGAGCTCCCGCGAGCGCGAGGACCGCGAGCTCCGCCAGGCGGCGGACGCGCGCCTGGCGGAGCTCGAGTTCGGCGACCGCGACTTCCACAGCGCGTAAGGTTTTCTTCGCGGGCTGTAAAGGGTGGTGTTGTGGGTGGATAAGGCGTCCGGCGAGCGCGGGACGACGGCGGTACGCGTCGGCCGCACCATCCGCCCATCGAGGCGGGTGTGGAAGGCGCGGGCGCGTGCGGGTCGACGTCGCACGTGAAGTACGCGTCGCTCGCACTGCTCGCACTGAAAGTTGAAGCCGATATTGACTTGGGAGAGCTCTTCGATGGTCTCTCAGTAGACGCGAATCCACTAGCATGGCGCGCCTGTATGACTACAGCAAATGGGACAAAATCGACACGGACGACGCGAGCAGCAGCGACGACGACGACGGCGAGGTCGTGATAGAGAACGACTGGGCGGAGGAAGACCGGCCGCCGCCGCAAACGGTGACCGACGTCGCCGCGCTCGCGGACGCCGACGACCGCCGGCCGCCGCCGCCGCCGGAGCCCGTCCCGAACGTCGTGCACGGGCCGGAGCTGCCGCCGCCGCCGCCGCCGCCGCCGCCGCTGCCGCGTTGGGAGGTCGACGGCCTGCCGGCGACGCTCGTCGAGTGCGAGGCGTGCGACGTCGAGAATGAGAACGCGCGCGGCGAGCTCGAGGAGCTCTGCCGCGGCTTCCTCTGGGTGCCCGGCATCCGCGGGTCCCAGCGCGGGGGCTTCGCGCCGCCGGCGATCCGCGTCGAGACGGGCCCGGTCGCGGCCGCGGGCGCCGTCGCCTTCGCGACGCGCGCGCCGGACCGCCTGCCGTCCTCGAAGAAGGACGCCACCCGGCTCGCCTTCGCGGCGGCGCTGCCGCACGTGCGCGCGCGCATGGCGGGCGTGCCGCCGCTCGAGGGCACGAAGAAGCAAAAGGCGGCGGCGCGCGCCGCGGCGACGCCGCGGACGCGGCTCGAGCTCGCGGGCGCGGCGCTCGGCTGGGACGCGCCGGAGTTCGAGGGGAAGACGTGCCGCTGGGGCAAGGCGGACGCGCGCCGCTCCTCGACGGCGCCGAACAACCGCGAGGGCGGCGACGTCGCGCAGCTCGCGGCGCTCGTCGCTCTGCGCGCGATGGAGGCCGACTACGGCGCGGGCGGCGCGGCCGTCGTCGACGCCTTCGTCCGCCAGGCGCAGGCGCCACCCGAGCCGGTGCGCGCGCCGCCGCAGGACGGGGGCGTCGAGGAGGCCAAGGAGGAGCCGCCGCCGCGCGCGACCGCGGCGCGCGCGGCGCGCCCGCCCCCAGTCGGCGGCGGCTCGTCGGTGCTCGACGTCGCGGCGCGCTGCTGCGGCGGCGACGAAGACGCGGGCAAGGGCCGCAACAAGGGCGGGCGGCCCATGAGCGACGACGAGATCGAGCGGTTCCGCGCGGCCGTCGTCGGCCTCGAGGTCGCCTGGGGCGCGGACTCGCGCGGCGTCGTCGAGGGCGTCGAGCGGCCCGCGGACGAGCTTCGCGTGCGAGGCTTCGGGTCCGCGGGCGAGGCGCCGACGGTCGCGGCGTGGTGGGAGGCCGTCGGCGGCGGCGAGAAGTTCGGCGTCAAGGCCGCGGCGACGGCGCTCGGGAGCGGCGACGGCGACAAACTCGCGGCGGAGCTCTGCCGGCGCCGCAAGCTCAGATTCCCGGCGTTCCCCTGCCTGGCCATCGCCGGCGGCTCCCTCGTGCCCCTGGAGCTCGCGACTCTCGTCGACGGGGGAGCGCCGGTGGACGAGGACGACGACGCGGCCGCGCGGCGCGCGGCCGCCGCGGAGGCGCGCGCCGCGGCCGACGACGCGGCCGCCGCGGGGGCCGCGGCGCTCGCGGCGCGGGTCGTGCTGTGCCTGCGCGCGGGCCGCGGCCGCGTGAACCTGTCGCAGTTCGCGGACGCGCTCCGCGACCGCGGCTTCGCGGCCCTTCCGGGGACGCGCGGCCGCCGCCGGCAGCTCGAGGGGCTCGCGGCCGCGTCGGGCGGCGCGTTCGCGGTCGTCGCCGACGCCGCGTCCGCGTGCTGGGTCGAGCTCGGCGACGGCCAGGACTACGCGGCGCCGCCGCCGATCGCCGCGCCGCCGCCGCCGGCCGCCGTGTTGCCGCCGCCGGCCGCCGCGCCGCCCGTGCCGCCGCCGCCGGCCGCCTTCGCCGCGCCGGTCGTCGCGCCGCCGCCGCCGGCCGCGCCGTTGCCGCCGCCGGCCGCGGGCGCGGAGGACTGGCTCGGCGACGAGGACGAGGACCTGGGCGCCGTCCCCGGCGGCGCGCTCGAGCGGCTCCGGACCATCGGCTGGGGCGACGCGGCCTTCGACGCGGCCGCCGCGACGCACCGCGCCGACGAGCCGGAACGCATCCTCAAGTTCCACCAGCTCCTGGGCGCGGAGCGGCACCGGGCGGGCGTCGAGCCCCACGACGACGCCTGCGCGTGCTTTTGGCTCCGCGTCGACGGCGTGGGCTTCCACAACTGGAGCCCGCGGCGCGGCGTGACGATGCCCTACGACGGCCGCGTCCACGGCGCCTTCGTCGCCGCGGCGCGCCGCGCCGTCGCCGACTTCCGCCGCCACGGCCTCGATCCCCTCGCCGCCTTCACGGAGAGCGACGAGATCACGTTCTTATTTCGGGGCCCGGCGACCACGGCCGGCGGCGCGTCGGACCCGCGGCGCCGCCTCGAGACCTTCGCCGCGGCCGTCTTCACGTCGGCCTTCGCCGCGGCGCTCCCGGGAGAGATGACGGACGGGGGCAACGACGGCTTCTTCGACGCGCGATCGTTCGCGGCCTCGTCGAACGCCGCGGGCCTCGCGGCGCTCGTCTGGCGGCGCCTCGACACGACGCGCAACGCGAGCTCCCAGGCGCTCCGCCACCTGCACGACGTCACGATCTGTGTGGAAATCAAATCTTCAACCCGACTTCAATGTGCGCGTAATTGAACGGATTGCGCCGGAATCTTCGGCTGAGCTTCGAGAGCTCGACGAGAGCAATCGATTCGTCCAAAAGTCAGCCGAATCGACCTCGATTTGACCGAGCTCGAGAGTTCTGAAGTTTGGTGGGGATAACCCAGCTCACTGGTTGATTTCCACACAGGTCACGATCACGCCGGGCAACCACAAAGAGCAGCGCGGGCGCCTCGCGGCCCTCGGGACGCCGTGGGCGTCGCTGCCGCCGGAGCTCCGCTACGGCACGCTCCTCCTCGCCGGCGACGACCGCACCCACAACGTGCGCCTCCGCGTGCCGCGCACGGCCGACGAGGCGCGCGTCCTCGACCGCGCGGTCTTCGACGAGCAGCGCTGGACCGACGCGCTCCACGGACCGCACCCGCGAGCGCGCGTCTAGTCGGAAGAGTCGGCATCTAAGTTCGTCGCTTCTTACTTGAATCTTAGTCGTGCGCCTCTTCCTGCGCCTGCGCGAGCGCCGCCGCTGCCGCTTCCTCGTGCGGTGGCCCGACGACCATCATGAGCAGTGGCTCGGACCAATTTTCGCCCTCCGGCTTCTCCTTATGCCGCAAGTTGCACAACTTTTCGTCATCGAGGATGAGGCGCCCGTCAAATATCAGTTGAGCATCTGCGGGACACGATTCGCCCCTTGGCGTTTTGCGTAGTTTGTCGTAGATACCTCGAACAGAACGATTGCAGTTCTCCAAAATGATCAACTCAGGGCCACTGGGAATCAAGCGCAGATGCATGATTCGCATGCGTGGTAGCACGTCTAGCTTTGGCAAACGCAGTTTGAGCTGATTTATGGTCTGCGGACAACAACTCGCGCACGGGTTGAGCTCGAATGTGGGAGGGGGGTGAACTAAATCAACACGCAGACGCTTGAGCTTCGGACATCTGTCTGGAAGGAGCAGAAGCAGCGGCTTCGCCACAGAGCATTGTCGCAAGTCAAGGTGAACAAGCCCGCTGTAAAATCGCGTCGCACATTCGAATGCCGTGTCCGCTGACGCGAACGCGTCGCTGCCACAGCCGGATACACCGAGGAGCCGGCGCAACGATCCCACCGATTCTTTCTGCGCGCGGAACCGGCGCATGTCTTGGCAGAATGTGCGGTCGAGACAAGCAACCGAGGCCGCGACATCGAGATGCGCAGCGATAAAATCGAGGACCGAAATGGGTCTCAACAGCCGATCATCTTTTGGCACGAGGCGCGCGGAGCGCGCGGGGGGCGCGGGGGGCGCGGCCTCCTTGTCCTTGAGCGTCGTCACCATGCCGCCGCGCGCCTGTTGCCCGCGGGGTGTGCCTGCAAGATGATGTTCAACCTATAGCCGACTGCGTACGCCTCTGCGTCGTGCGGCGCTTCATGCGGCTTCCACTTCTACCGCAAGCCCTTACTCGGGCGCGAACGCGCGCTGGAGGTCCTGATGCAGCGGCCCAGGCTCGCGGTGCGCGCGTTCCGTCGCCCGCCAGCCCTCGATCTCGTCGGCGGACGACGGCCCCGGCGGGACGTCTAGAGTCGGTAACGAAACGAAAACTGGGAAGCCCCTTCCCCGCCCTAGACGAGGCCCGAGCCGTCGTCGAGGTCGAGGTCGTCCTTGGCGCAGAGGGGCTCGACCTCCTCGCCGCAGAACTCGGCGAAGTGCTTCGCGAGGCCCGTGGCCACGGCGAGGCGGTGGAGCCTCGCGCGGAGCTCGTCGAACACGCCGGGCTTGCGGGGCTTGTCCTTGCTCGTCAGGTGGTCGTCCTGGGCGTCGACGTCCGGCGGCTTGTAGAGCTTGAGCGCGAGGGACGAGAGGACGACGCTCAGGCTCGAGAAGACCATGCACGCGGCCGCGGCGGCCGGCGGGAGCCGCGCGCGCGTCGCCGGGTAGAAGGCGCCCGCGGCGACGGGGATGAGGACCATGTTGTAGCACGAGGCCCACAGGAAGTTGAGCTTGATGCGCGTGTAGACCGTCTTCGCCAGGTGCAGCGACACGACGACGTCGCGGAGGTCGTTTTTCACCAAAACGACGTCCGCGGCCTCGATGGCCACGCGCGTGCCGTTGCCGATGGCGATGCCCACGTCGGCCTGGGCCAGCGCCGGCGAGTCGTTGATGCCGTCGCCGACCATGGCGACGCCCCGGTGCACGCGCTGCAGATCCGCGACGCACCGCTTCTTCTCCGCCGGCAGCGCGCCCGCGCGGACGCGCGCGGGCCGCAGCCCCAGGTCCTCGGCGACGGCGAAGGCCGTCGCCTCGTGGTCCCCCGTGAGCATCCAGACGTCGACGCCGCGCCGCCGCAGCGCCCGCAGCACCGCGCGCGCCTCGGGCCGCGGCGCGTCCGCGACGGCCACCGCGCCGACCACCGAGCCGTCGAGCGCGACGAAGACGGCCGTCTTCGCCGCGCGCCGCCAGCCGGCGACGGCGTTCCGCAGGTCCGGGTCGTCCAACCCCCGCTCGTCGACGCCCGCGTCCCGCATGAGGCCCAGCGAGCCCACGGCGAGCGCCCGGCCGTCGGCCAGCGCGCAGACGACGCCCTTGCCCTCGCGGTCCTCGGCGTTCGACACGGGCTCCGTGCCCAGCTTGCGCACCGCCGCGGCGTCGATCAGCGCCTTGGCGATGGGGTGCGCCGAGTGCTGCTCCGCGGCCGCCGCGAGCGCCAAGACGCGGTTCTTCGCGACGGAGCCCAGCGCGAACTCGCCCGCGAGCTCCGGCTGGCCCGTCGTCAGCGTGCCCGTCTTGTCGAGGACGACGCAGGACACGGCCTGGGCCGCCTCGAGCACGGCGCCGCCCTTGACGAGCACGCCGTGCCGCGCGCCGACGCCCGTGCCGACCATGACCGCCGTCGGCGTCGCGAGGCCCAACGCGCAGGGGCACGCGACGACGACGACGGACACCGCAAAGAGCAGCGCGAAGAGGAACGGGTCCCGCTCGTCGAGCCAGGCGTCGGGCATGGCGCCGCTCCGCGCGTAGGCGTACCAGCCGAGGAACGTGCAGGACCCGCAGAGGACGATGAACGGCGTGAACTTGGACGCGACGGCGTCGGCAAAGTGCTGCACGGGCGCCTTGTTGAGCTGGGCGTCCTCGACGAGCTTGGCGATCTGGGCGACGGCGCTGTCGCCGCCCGTGCGCTCGACGACGACGGCGAAGGCCCGGCCGCGGTTCACCGCGGACGCGAAGACGGCGGCGCCGCGCTTCTTCTTGACGGCCGCGAACTCGCCCGTGATGGCGCTCTCGTCGACGTGGGCCGCGCCCTCGGCGCCGGCGAAGGCGCCCTCGTCCTCGACGAGCACGACCAGACCGTCCGCGGGCACGGCCTCGCCGGGGAGCACGCGCGCGACGTCGCCCTTGCGGAGCGCGTCCGCGGGGACCGTCGACGCCGCGGACTTGGCCGCCTCCGCGCGGAAGGCCCGCTCCAGCGCGGGCACGCCCGGGTCGCCCGGCGGCGCCTTCAGCAGCGCCTGGGCGGCCCGGGCCATGGCCTCGCCGCCGCCGAGGAGCTTCGCGTCCGTCGGCCGCAGGGCCAACAACGCCCCCACCGCGTCGGACGTCTTCATCTTCGCGCGCGCCTCGAGGAACTTGCCCAGGCTCACGAAGGTGATGAGCATGGCCGCCGTGTCAAATAGTAAATGCTCGTGGGACGCGTCGAAGAGGCAGCAGTCCACCAGGGACGCGCACGAGTACGCGAAGACGAGCGACGTCGCCAGCACCACCAGCAGGTCCATGCCCAGGTTGCCCACGCGCACGCCGCGCCACGCGGAAACATAAAACCGCGCGGCCACAAAGACCTGGATCGCGCCGCCGCAGCCCGCGGCGACGGCGGCGACGCGCGTCATCTTGCCGTGGCAGGCCACGGGATGCGCCTGAGCAGCACAAGGGTGATGCAACGTCGCTTCAACGTGAGTGTTCCGCGCGCGCGCGTTTCGGAAACAGCACCCACGCTTCGAGAGCGCTCCGAGAGATGATCGCTCGTCCAAAAATCAGCCGAAACGAGTGGAAATCGGCCGAGAGAGGAGCCTTTGAAGTTGGGAATTTCGCACCCTTTTCCTGCCACGGGATGCGCCCAGAAGTCGCGCGTCGCCGCCATCGCCGCGAACCACTTCGACAGCACGATGGGCAGCGTCAGCGCGGCGGCGGCGCTCAGCGTGCGCCGCCAGCCCGCGACCTCCGCCGCCGCCGACTCCGCGAGCACGGACTCGTCGCCCGCCGCGACGGACGCGCGGAACCCGAGCGCCTGGACGACCTCGATGAGCTCGCCCGGCCGCAGGGGCCGCCCGGCGAATTTCACGCGCGCCTTGTGGGTCGCGACGGAGACGACGGCGTCGGCGACGCCCGCGAGCTCGCCGAGCGCCTTCTCGACTTTCGAGGAGCACGCCGCGCACGACATGCCCTCCACCCGCAGCACCACACTCCCGTCGCCCCGCGCCGCGTCCGTCTCGCAGACGTCGCAGCCGAATCCCGCCCGCCGCACCGCGCCCGCGATGGCCTCGGCGTCCGCGCGCGCGTCGAAGCGCACGACGCAGCGCTCCGCGAGGTACGCGACGCGGCAGGAGACCACGCCGGGCAACGCCTCGCACGCGGCCTCGCAGGCCTTGGCGTCGCGCGCGGACTTCATGCCCCGGACGCGCAGCTCCGCCTCGCTCGCGGGCGTCGCGCTCTCGAGGAGCGGGCTCACGCCCGCGGCCTCGCCCCGGGGCGGCGGCGCGCCTCGGTCGACGGCCGCGTCGAAGCCGACGCACTCGACCGCGTCGACGCAGGCCGCCTCGTCGACGCCCTCGCCCCAGACCCAGGCCTTGGCCTCCGGGTAGGACACCTCCGCGCGGCGCACGCGGCCCACGGACCGCAGCGCGTTCTGCACCGTCGTGCCGCAGCTCTGCTGGCACATCATGCCCTCGACGCGCAAAACGACGCAGGGCACCTCGCCGAGCTCCATGGCCGCGCGGTCCTTGTCCTGGCTTCCGAGGGCGCCGCGCGTCTGCTCTTCTTCCCCCCGGCCGGCGGCGTCGGCGTTCGCGACGATGTGGGAGGTCGCCGCGCGTCGTCGTCTCGGTCGGTGATGGATCTCCACCGCAGCCGATGATGATGTTCCTCGGCAACTGCACACAACTTTCAAAGGGTTGACACGGACGCCCCACGGGACGCCCCCCTCCGCCGCCGCCGCCCGTCTGTAGACGACCACGACGAAAGATGCTAACGTGCGACGAGTCGCGGTGGGGTGTGCAAAAAAAGCGGCGAGGTGACGACGAAAGCAGGTTGGATGTCGATCGAGGGTGTTCGCGAGCACCGTGACGAGGCGAGGAGGCTTAGAGGCCTCCCGGGAGGCGGAGATGGCGGCCTGTCATTGCGGCCGCCGAGGCGCGTGTCGCGCCGCACCGAGGAATCTCCTCGGCAGGCAGCGCAACAGCGATGGTTGCTCGTCGGCCGGCGGCGGCGCCGCGGCGGCCACCGGTCGCGCCGCGGGCGCCGCCGCGGCCGCGGCGGCTTCGCGGCCCTCCGCGGACGGCGGCGCTGCCTCCACGGCCTCGACGGCCGCCGCTGGCGGCTCGGCGCGCGCCGGCTCGGCGTGCGGCGCCTGCGCCTCGGCGGCCGCGACGGCCGCGGCGGCCGCGGCGCGCGCCGCGGCCGACGAATCCAAGCGCGCCGTCAGGCCGTCCAGCATGGCCCCCAAGCGGCCCTCGTCCAGACCCTGGGGCTGGTACCAGCTCGCGCGCCGCCACTCCGTCCGGACGACGCGGCCCGGCGGTTCGAGCAGCCGCTCGAGGCGCCGCTCGAGGGCGCTGCGCGGCGCTCCGTCGACCTCGTCCTTCGTCTCTTCCACATACTCCCGGTCCGCGGGCAGCGACCGACGGGGCGCGCCGGCGACGTCGCTCCCGCGCACCATTCACCGCCGCGTTGGTCTCACATGCGCACCGTGGCGGTAGAACGCAGTAGAAGGCAGTAAGTAAGGCAGCCCCTCCCTTGGTGTCATATGAGACCCCTACGAATCCGTAGAGCCAATAGTGACCACAAACCCTAGCCAAGATATTTACCCACTGCAACGTCGACGCAACGGCCCTCAGAAGAGGGCGTCGTGCTTCTCCCCGAGCTTCTGCGCGAGGTCGTCGACCTTGCGGCTCGAGGCGAACTTGCCCCGCAGGCCCGGGAGCTTCCGGCGCACGCTCGCGAAGAGCCGCTTCGCGTCGTGGCACCGGCGGACGCGGTCCTCGCGCGCGATGTCCACGGGGCCGGCGACGTCCGCGCGCGTCGCGTTGGCGACGAACTCGCCGTAGAGGTCGAGGGTCGACAACACGCCGGCGAGGGCGAGGGCGACGTGCTTCGGCGCGCGCCGCGCGGCGGCGTCGTCGCCCGGCGCCGCGGCGCCGTGCGCGTCCAGCAGGCCGTCGAGGAGCCGCCCGAGGTCCAGCGCGTCGTCGAGCGTCAGGCTCGTCAGGTCCACGCGCCCGAGGAAGTCGGCGGCGAGGGCGTAGGCGGCGCAGGGCCCGTCGCCGCGGTCCTCGGGCCGCAGCGCGCGGAACGCGGCGCCCGCTCG